GGTGAAAGCGTTGGCCTTCTGATAAAGAGCATCGCACCTGCAAAAGCAAATTTGTCCTTGTTGTGCGAGGCCGGCGAGATCAACGCCCAGGAGCTTGACTTCTTGCATTGGGAGACGGTGCGCAACCCGAACGGAGAGAACTTCTGGTCGGATGCAACCAACAAGGCAGGGTCAAAGATGCGGCAGGTGGCAGGCGGCAGGCTCCACACTTGTGTGGGGGTAGCCCATGCGCATCTTCCGCTCACGTACATGAACGTGGACATCGCCTTCCGCAAGACCCTACCGCATGGTTGACAGGCTTCTGTGACCAGCTCCTTGCGTCGTCCTTTACGGAACCACTCACTCGAGCACGCATGGCCTGTATGAGAGTCTGTGTGTTCCACTTGAGCAACAAGGTCGCGAGTGAGCAGGTCAGCTTACCTCATGAATGTCTGGCCTCTATGTTCATGGACTGCCTGCACTATCAGGTGGACCTTATTGCGGGCGACCCCAACATGGGTCTCTACCGGTACTCAGGTACCCGGCAGGAGTCGATGGATATCAAAGGAGGAATGTACCAGTCCGTTCTGACCTACTTCTTGGAAGCATGGGCAAACAGTCCGAGATGCATGCCTTTTTGCATTCCTAAGGCACATCAAGTTTCTGCTAACAGCCGATGCCTCCTGAAGCAGTATGAGGACACGCCTGGCCAGCCCTACGGATCGACTGGAGTACTTTTCCGGGTCTGCATCCGATGGTCGCCACCGTTCTGGAGTGGGGCCATTCGACAGCGATCAGTGGGCTACGCTTCCTTCCGACCAGCAGGAGTTCAAGCTCAGCATTTCTGATTGGTTATTGAATTCCACCTCTGCCAACTACCTCTTGAACGACAGGGATTACGACGCGCATACTACTCTCCTGCTGAGCGTCAATGTGACACACTACAGTCCTGGAAGAGCGAGAGCGATGAATCGTAACCCGGATACACTCCAAGAGAAGGCAGACCGCCGGAAACAAAGGCAGAAGGAGAACAAAGCTTGTGGTTCTTCTGGAGCTGCACCGACTGAACCAAGCTCTTCCCCTGGAGAGGCAGGTTCTGGTGCTGGCTCTGGTGCTACAGCCTCTGGTTCACAACGTCCTGCCGAAAACCCGCACATCCTCCTGGTGGAAAGGCTACATCTGGCAAAGGAGGCAAGCCCTTCAAGGGCAAAGGAAAAAATTGACTAGAGGCTGACTCCGAGTCGGACACGCCAGTCTTTGTGCCGGCAACACGATCTCCTCCAGCTCGGCCCGATCCTATCACTCGTCTTCAGCCTGTCGTCATCTTCGGTGGTACCCCTAATCGTTGGAGCGGCAGAAGGACCCGTGATCGCAGTTGGGACGATGATGTAGAGGTGGTCGACTAAGTGTTTTTCCCTTTTCAACTTGAAAAGAATGTTTCTTCCTTAAGAAGGTATCTTCCTGTCAGCCCTTTATCCATTTCAGAAAGAAGATGCTCTTCTTTTGAAGGGGAACTTCGCTTGGAACATTTGCCCAAACAGAAAATGAGATACTTCTCCTACGAGAAGAAAGCATCAATATGCCAATAGCTGGCATCAAGTGGAGCTAAGCTCTACTTTTTATGTGCAGTATGCTTTCCGTACTGGAGAGGTAACTGAACATGTGGGCAATATTTTTCAGTTCAGTTTTGAACCGAACATCCCTTTGTTTGTGTGTGTGTTCTGCTTTCGTAACCAGCTGTCTCCAGGCAAGAGATTTTGTACAGATGTATATTTCTCAAGTCAGTTTTGCTGCAGCTTGTGACACTCCGCAGTTGCAATTCGCTTGAGC